TGTGTAGATAGTATGTATTAGGACTTTAAGGTTAATGAGGACAATGACTTTATCAGGCTTTTCTTTTGCTTACGGGTGCTGAGGAATCGAACCTAGGGCCTCAAGCATGCAGGGCAAGCGCTTTACCACTGAGCCACCTTCCCAGTGACCTTATCAGGCTTTTCTGTGTGTGTGTTCTTAGACTCTTACGTGATGCCCTCACAGACAGAATTAATCCTTATCAGGACCTCAGGTTATCTGTTTAGATATGTGTGTAGTAAGGCTTAGAGAATTGAAGTAATTCTAATTCCTAAAGGGTCTTAGTAAGTGATAGAGTTAGGTTTTGATTCTAGGAGATTAAAGACTCTAAAATCAGTGGTTGCAGTAATTGTGTTTAATGAATGTGGTCAGAGCTGCTTATGTATTGGATCCTTTTGGTAATGGTCATGTAATGACAGGCAGTTCAGTCTGTAGCTTGGAGTTGATTTACCCACCATACACCATGGCTAAATTTAGCTGTCCTTATAGTCCTAGACAGGACTAGTTTTCTTTCTTTCTTTGTTCTCTGGAGCTGGGTTTTGTGAGGACACTTGTGAGTGGGAAGCAGGTGCCTCTTTCTGTGAAGTCAGTTCTAAATGCTGCCAGTCGTTACGGGAAAGCAGAAGTCCTGCTTTCCTTTCTTTAACGAGGTGATTCCCCTTGGTCTTCGCCTTCTGGGACCTCAGCTACTAATTTTTGCTTGTATTTTAGGAAAACATTCTCATTATAGAACCACAGAACCACGTGCCTAATCCCGTTTCATGATTCTTGAAGAAATATAAACTATTTGAACAAATTAAAGATTAACCAATTAAATGAAATGTTTGTTTCAGATAGTTAAGAGCACCATTCCTTATCCTGGTTCTGTCTGCTTGTGACCCAGAGCAGGTGAGCACAGCAGGGATATAGTCAGAGAGAAGCCGCTTTCTTTAAAGCAGCTGCAGCTCGTGCCCCTCAAACTCCTGTGCTCTTTTGGCCTGCCTTGTATTGATCTCTGCCCAGGTATCCATAGTCTTTCCCCAAGTCAGTTCAATTCCTAATACATTATAGATTTCTTTTCTTTTCTTCTCTTTTTTTTTTGTTGTTGTTGGTTGTGGGGCTTGAACTCTGGGCCTGGTCACTGTCTCTGTGCTCTTCAGCTCAAGGCGAGCACTCTACCACTTGAGCCATAACACCCCTTCTGGTCTTCTGGTGGTTAATTGGAGATAAGAGTCTCACGGACTTTTCCTAGCCTCAGATCTCAGCCTCCTAAGTAGCTAGGATTACAGGTAGGAGCCACTGGCGCCCAGTTCAGTTACAGATTTCTTAAGTGCCACAAACTGTGTTCAGCACTGGTCATGCTACACAGATAAGTAAAAACCAGGTAGCGCCTGGTCTACATTCTTGTGCTGACTCTGGGTGTCATCACTGGGTCCTTGACTTTGAATGAGTCATTTCTCTATGCCTCAACCCCTTATCAGTAAAATGAGGCAATAAGCCCTGCTTTCTCCTCTCAGAGTCGTTCTGAGTTTATGTAGTCCCTGCCCAAAGCATCTTTAAACAGGAAGTTGCCTGTGTCACCTCCTTTAATCCTATATCACAGTGCCTTGGCGTTTAGCTCTCCTTTGTGTACCAGACCTCCTCTTACTCCCATTTTGTCCACTCATCCCACAATAGGCTTCAGTCTGGCTATGCAGAGCTACTAACATTCCACTGCTACCTCCACTACTCGTGCCTCTGATCTTATTTTTTTATTTATTTAGATACTGGGACTTGATCTCAGGGCCTGGGCACTGTCCCTTAGCTTTTTTCACTCAAGGCTGATGCTCTACCACTTGAGCCACGGCTCCACTTTCAACTTTTTTGGTGATTTGGAGATCAGAGTCTCACAGACTTTTCTTTTTTTTTTTTTTTGGGTCCGGTCGTGGGGCCTGAACTCTGGGCCTGGGCTCATCCCTCAGCTCTTCAACTCAAGGCTAGCGCTCTACCACTTGAGCCACAGCGCCACTTCCAGCTTTTTTCTTTTTGCTTATGTGGTGCTGAGGAATCGAACCCAGGGCCTCGAGCATGCAAGGCAAGCGCTCTACCACTGAGCCACCTTCCCAGCCCCTCTCACAGACTTTTCTGTCCAGTCTGGCTTTGAACCATGATCTCAGATCTCAGTCTCACAGGTGTGAGCCACCAGTGTTGCAAGGGTGAGAAAGCAGAGAAGCCTCATTTTGAAAGATTAAATGAGGAGTCTTTGTTAAAAGGCTGCATGCTGTGAGTCTCTTGTCTCAAAGACCAGCAGCCAGCAAATACATTTAACACTGCTAGAAAACAGAGCCATGAAGGCCAGAGAGGAAAGAAAGAACAACACTAACAAACCAAATTCAGCTCCAGTGGAGAGCTGAAGTGGAATGCCATGGTGACTGAAAAAGAGACAGGACATGAGCACAGAGGCACGGTGGCGTGGCATAGTGCTGTCTCAACTGGTCTGGGCCTAAATAGGGTTAGGTCAGGGGACAGAGTTACAGGAAACTCCCAGTCCCAGCACCAGACTGACAGGTTTACTAACCTATCAGCCAGTGCCCACCCCCTGCCACCAGGGAGGCAGGACATCATTCCCTCCCCCCTCCCCCACCCCGCCCCCATTCATGAAGACCCTACCATCGACCATGTGGCCAAGATGGCAGTCACCCTATTTCACTGGCACCCAGCTTTCTTTTTTGTTGGTGGTGGTGGTGGTAGTGGTGGGGATGGTGGTCGAGGGGCTTGAACTCAGGGCCTCGGCTCTGTCGTAAGCTTTTTTGCTCAAGGCTAGGTTAGTGGAGCCCTGGGACCACTTCCTCTTTTTGAGTGATTAGTTGGAGATAAGTGTCTTACAGAATCTCCTGCCCAGGCTGGCTTCTAATCACAATCCTCAGATCTCAGCCTCCTGAGTAGGTGGGATTACAGGCATGAAAACAGTGCCTGGCTGCACTGCCTTCCTAAGCCATATTGAACCCCAGCTCCTTCTTAAAGGGCAGTAGATTTCATGCTTTTTGTGTTCAGTGCATTGTTCTGTGTCTTGATTCATGCCAGAGTCAATCATAATAACATCATTTTGTTTATGGAAAGGACCCCACTCTGTGTTAGGACATCTTCTGAGCATTGGACATACATTTTCTATTATTTGATCCACCTAACCATCATTCTTACAAACAACTATTTGGATTTTGGCAGATGAGGAAGCTGAAACTTAAATTAGTCTGCTTGCCTTGCTCACATAGTAAGTCACTGGCAAAGCCAGGAAAAGAAGAGAAGTCTGTCCACCCATGAAGCCTGAGCTCATAACGAGCAAGCTCTATGGCCTGCCTTCCTCCCTCCCTCCCCTGGGGACTACCACTCTCACGATTTTTCTCTGTTGGCCTTGGCAACAGCAGGCCTCTGCCTGCTCCAGAGGCTGATAAGTAGCATATATTTTACAAGAGCATGTTGTGCAGTTCCCGTGACAGATTAATGACCAAATGAGAGGTATTATGAACTGAATTTGTGCTTCTGTCAAAGTATGAAACATATGAATAATGTTTGTATATTCCCAAATTCATGGGTTCTTAATCTAGGACCATGGATGGGCCTTGGGTCCCCTAAGCCCTCTGAAAGGGTATGTAGCTTATTTTATTGTAGGGAAAGGGGAAGTTGGCATCTCTTCTCATACACAGAAAGCCTAGTTGCTTAGGAGACTTTCAAAATGGTGCTTCCCCGATGCATTAAAGAAACACTTCCTCATCGCAGAAGGGTAGAAAATTCTGGCACCTATGTTAAAAATGCAGTCTTCCTCCAAGAATTTGGTAGGGACCAGTACCTTTAAACAGAACGAGGGGGGGCTGGGGGTTTAGCCCAGCGGAAGGGCGCCCGCCTGGCGCGCGCAAGGCCGTGGGTTCGGCTCTCAGCCCTGGTTTAAAAATTTAAAAAAAAAAAAAAAGACACATAAACAGAACGAGGACTGGGCATGGGGGCTCATACATGTCATCCTTGCTGCTTAGAAGGCTGAAAATAGAAAGATGGCAGTTCAGGGTTCGCCAAGTTGGAAAGTTTGTAGGACCCCAATTACAGCAGAAAAAGCTAGGCAAAGATGGGCACTTGTGGCTCATTCTGTAATCCTAGCTTTTCAGGAGGCTGAAATCTTTAGATCACCCTTGGAAGCCAGCCTGGGCAGGAAAGTCTGTGTGACTCTCCAGTCAATCATTAGAAAACAGGAAGCGGCACTGTGGCTCAAAATGGTAGAGCACTAACCTTGAGCAAAAAAGCTCAGAGATCTGAGTTCAAGCCCCAGGACAGGCCTGTCCCCCTCCCCCCCAAAAAAGCTAGGTGCAGTAGCATGTGCCCATCATCCCAGATATGGTAGGGCCTCAAATTCACAATCCTCCAACCTCAGCTTCCTTAGTGCTTTAATTACAAGAGATACCATCACACTTCAATTTCCAGGTCTGTGTTTTTAATGGCCAAGAGACAATGCCTGTTTGAAGGCAGCACAGCAGAGCTAGTGGATAGGACGCAGTTACAAGAGTGAGGTGGCGACAGCACAGACTTTGGATGGAGTCTAGTGGCCTGGCCTCAAAGCCTTCCAGCCCCTGATCTTCCAAGCCCTTATCTGTGATCAACCACATAACTTCCTCATACCTAAAATGAGGATGATAAAATAGCTCCTCCTCCACCCCATAGAGCAATTATGAGCACATTTAGCAGCAGTATTGGCGTGTGCTAAATAAAATAGTAGATGATGGTGATGATGATGATAGGATTTGGAGTCAATTATAAAAAATAAGAGTTAGGAGGGAGACGTTGTAAGGTGTTTGCTCTGACACTGTCAGGAAAAGCCTTGGGTACTGATACTTAACAGTGTCTTGGGCCTTTGCGGGTTCTGATCCCCAATGGGGAAACACATTTTGCCTAGTGGCCTGGCCCAGGTGATGAGCGCTGGCAGTGAAGCACTAGCGCTTCCTGATTCTTCACAATTTGTGCTGTTGTTTATCCTACAGATTAATCAGAAAAAGCTGAAAAAATATGAGAAAGAATATCACACCATGAGAGAACAACAGGCCCAACAGGAAGACCCCATCGAGCGATACGAGGTTTGTTTGCTTATGGCTGGATGATGTAGGAGCTTGAGGATTTTCACTCCATACTGTCTGTAACTAGCTTTATTGAATCTAGGGCTTGACCTCAGGCAGGCCCTGAGCTTTTACGCTCAAGACTGGCAGGCATTCTGTCACTTCAACCATAGCTCCACTTCAAGGCCTTCGGGTGGTTAATTGGAGAAAAGAATCTCACAGACTTTTCTGCCTGGGCTGGCTTCAAATTGTACTCCTCAGATCTCAGCCTCATAAGTAGCAAAGATTACAGACATGAGCTACTGCCACATGGCTATTGATTCCTTTTTAAAGTTCACTCCTCCTGTTTCTAGACTTGTTTGCATTTGAGTTTGCAAATGAGAAACAAGATCTGTTTTGCTTCTAGTCAGTTGCCCAGTTGTTACACTTCAGTGGCCTTTCCTCACGGTTACAAAGAAGTAGCTTCATGATAAGGTCACTTGAATCAGTTAAGTACTTGTTTGTGGGGAGATACAAAATAAGAAACTACTCATTTGGAAACATGTTAGGACCAGTCACGTGTCTTTGTGATTTCTGAGGGATCCAAGAATTGTTTTTGAAATTTGGCCTTGAGGTATTCTTGTTTCCACTTGACTTTTTTTTTTTTTTTTTTGCATTCTGTAAATTTTTTTTTTTTTTCTTCTGCTCTTCAGCGGGAAAATAGGCGCCTACAAGAAGCTAACATGAGGTTGGAACAGGAAAATGATGACTTAGCTCACGAGTTGGTGACCAGCAAGATTGCACTGCGGAAAGACTTGGATAACGTAAGTGATGGTTTGTAGGGAAAGCTGACACAGGCCAACTTGACCTCTGTGAACACGTGAAGTCCTGGGAGTTGGGTGTTTGCCGTTTGCCTTCCCTGTAGCACCTGCCTCTGGAGAGACAGTGGGACGGCCGTTCTCACTCAGCTTCCTCGCCCCTTTTATTTCCGCGCCCAGAGTTCCTGAGGTGCTTTGCTAACAATATTTATTTATTACAGTCTCTTGAATTCCTCCCTAACAGGAAGAAAATGTGTTATCCTGCATATCTGGGGCTTTTTTTAAATTTAGAATAGTTTGCCTGAGCGACAGGTTAATTTTATTAGTAGTTTCTCTTGGCAGAGATTCTGTTATCCTTTCGTCTTTGCTTCTGCTAATCTTAAAGGTTTTGAGATGATGGCTTTCCGGCAGGAAGCGTTTCTGTTTTCTAGACTACAGGCCTCCCTTAGAGGAAGTACAGTCTCGCTGGCTCGTGTCAGGGCTGGCTTATTCTGTAAAGGGGTAGTAAATATGTAAGGCTTTGTGGGCCTTGCTTTCTCTCACCACTACTTAACCATGACCTTGGTATCAAAGCAAGATGAAAAGGAACGATATGGCTGTTTTCCAATAAGAACTTTTTTTACCAAACTTAAGTGGCTTGAATCTGCCATCTTTCAGTTAATACATGTGCATACACTTACTTGCCACTCAGTCTAGCTTTCACATGTAGGGGAAAACATGCATCCTTTTTCTCTCCAGTCCTGACTTAACATAATTTTTTGCAAGTCTTTCCATTTCTTTGCAAATAGTATAGTATGCTGGGCACCGGTGGTTCACACCTGTCATTCTAGCTACTCAGAAGGCTGAGCTCTGAGGATCATGGTTCAAAGCCAGCCCAAGGCAGGAAAGTCCATGAGATTCTTATCTCCAGTTAACCACCAGAAAACCAGAAGTGGCACTGTGGCTCAAGTGGTAGAGTGCTCACCTTGAGTAGAAGAGCTCACAGACAGCACCCAGGCCCAGAGTTCAAGCCCCATGACAAAAAAAAGAACAAATGGTAGAGTATCATTCTTTCTAACGGATAAGTGTGTGTGTGTGTGTGTGTGTGTGTGTGTGTGTATTATAATACACACACCACACTTTCATCCATTGAGAGACATCTGGGCTGATTCCATACCTTGGCTGTGGTAGCGTCAAGAGAGAACTCAAATAGTATAATTCCTTTAAAAGGCAAAATCAAAGTTGAGCAAAATAAAACACCAGGAAGTGGGTACTTGAAAGGGGTAGGGTGGGGGTCAAGGGAAAAGGAGTAGGCAAATGAAGAAAAGAGGGGGATAATTCAGCCACGAATCTAATGTACATCCTACAGAATTAAGAAGAGTGAGGAAAGGGGTGGGGAGGGGCGGGGAGGGATGAGGGAAAACGTTGAAAGGGTGACATTGATAAGCAAGATACAGTATACTCATAAACCACTTGTTAAATGGCAACTCGTGTACAACTACTTCTCGAAATTTTTTTAAAAATAAACCTAAGTGGCACACACTAGATTTGGCCCCTAGACTGGTTTGCAAGCTCCTGACTTCTATTTTTCTACCAGGCTCCGAGGATCACCTAGTGCTTTAGGTTTCCTCTGGGCCTGGAGGTTGGCCCAGGCTGCTTAGAGCTTACATTCAGTACTTACATTTTATCCGAGTATTGAACTCCAGAGAGCCAGCCAGCGTTGGGAGGATCTTGCCATGCACCAAACAGGCAGAAATTCTGCAACTAGTCTATCTCTTTGAAAGTCTATGCTTTTATTAGCTTCTCAAACGTGAGAAAAGGAGATGGTATCAGCTGCCCCTGCATTTTAGAAATAGAATAATCTACTGTGCCTGATACTTGCATAACCAATTCCGACGCGCATGTTACTCCATGGGATGTCTTTTTCTGTCCTTTCACTTTTAGCACATCTCTCTTTGCTTTGTCCAAATGGGAATTTGTCTTCTGCTTGTGTTTGCTTTTTTTCTGCTTTACTGCAGTCTTTGGTTTCATTGCAAGTTTGTGTGTTGCCTTGTAAGTTGTTCTAGGATTCCTCTTTCTCCAGAGCTCTCCCTGACAGCTTCCAGCAACGGCAGCCATCCCCATGCCCCTGCCCCGAGTGCCTCTAACTGGAGAGTCCATCGTGCTCTCTGGAGGACCCAGGTGGAAGCCTGATGTTACTAGGAGGCCATTTGTTTTTCTCCCATGACCAGTTTGCATTTTCTGTTTTCAGAGGTGAATAAGTCTGTTCCCTGTTGATCTTCAGGAGTATGGGTTTATGTTTATGATGCTCAGGTGTTCTCCCTTTTTTTTGGTTATGTGAATAAACTAGGGTGCCATCACAAATGGGTGCCATCAGAGCAGTCCAGTTGGGTCAGTCCAGTAGCCTCTGTATACCTTCCCATTGCCATGGGCTGATTGTGGGGGTGGGTAGGACACATACTGGGCAGTCACAGGACATGCGGCTGCCAGCTGTGCCGCAAAGACAGCTCAGGAGGAACACCTCTCTGCCTTCCTTCTGTGTAAGTCGGGAGTCATGGCGGTCAGAAAAGTCTCTTGAGATAGGAAACCCAGTTCGTCACTTGGCTGTTCCACACATCTCAGTCAGCCCACAGCAGTGCTGAGTACAGGAGGAAGTATGTGTGCCTGTGCACTGCAGTAATAATGCAAGAGGCCAGCAGTCCAGGCGGAAATGACAAGTTCCACTGATGACACTACTGCTGGTCACAAGGGGGACTGGCATAGCAAAGAGGATGAAGAAGGCTAAACACACTCAAAATGCAAATAGATTACTTGCAACTATGAGTGAAACCTTTTGGAATTGTTTTGGGAAGGAAGGAGGTGCGCAGAGAGCGGTGGGGGGGTGAGATTGATTGGAATACGTTATAGACATGTATGGAAAAATAACAATGACATCTCCTAACTGATGGAAGCTATTCTGAATAAAGTAGATTATGAGTACATGGAATAAAAACAGCAGGCGCCAGTGGCTCACACCTATATAGTCCTAGCTACTCAGGAGGTTGAGATCTGAGGATCACAGTATGAAGCCAGCCTGAGCAGGAAAGCCGGTGAGACCCTTATCTCCAATGAACCACCAGAAAACCAGAAGTGGTGCTGTGGCTCACGTGGTAGAGTGCCTTGAGCTGAAGAGCTCAGGGACCGCGCCCAGGCCCAGAGTTCAAGCCCCACAAGTGACCAAAAAAAAAGTAGATTACTGTAAAGAGCATTTATAATGCTTTTAATACTTCATAGGACAAATGCAAAAAAAAATAAATAAAAAAGACAACAAATACACACGTTCCACTGGTGCCAAAGGCTTGAACTCAGGGCCTCAGGCTTGCCCTGTTAATTTGTTCTGTCACTTGAACCACAACTCTAGCCTGGCTTTTTGCTAGTTATTTTGGAAATGTAGCCTCATTTCCCTATTTAAGGTTCCAGCCTTGTTCCTACCAAAGAAGTGAGAGGAAGTAGAGTGGAGTGGAAAGCTCAGGAGCCCCACTCCACCATGTTGAGTAAGTGATGCCAGAAATTCTGTTTCAGAAAACCAGCCTCCCTCGCCAGGAGGCAAGAAGGTTAACTGCCTGGCCCAGTAAAGCCTTCTTACCTGGTCTTTGTTTTTCCCCTAACACACTAGTCACTCGCCAGTTGCCCTTCTTGGAGGGACCAGCTATCAGGATCCACAAATTTTTTCATGGGACTCAAAAGCCAACCCACAAGATATTGGTAGCTGTTCTAGAGTAGAACCTAGCCATTAAAGATAATCAAAGGGGGCTGGGAAGGTAACTCATGTTGCCTTGCATGCATGAGGCTCTGGGTTCAATTCCTCAGCACCACATAAGCAGAAAAAGCTGGAAGTGGCCCTGTGGCTCAAGTGGTAGAGCGCTAGCCTTGAGCTGAAGATCTGAGGGACAGCGCCCAGGCCCAGAGTTCAGGCCCCACAACCGACACACACGAAAACAAAAGATAATCAAAGGAAGTGTCTGCACTGGGGGCAGTTTCCTTAACAAGAGTGAAATGCAACATATGTTGAATAAAGCAAAAGAAATGTTGTTCAGGAGAACACCAGAGCACATCATTATTATTATTTTTTTTTTTTTTTTGGTCGGCCGTGGGGCTTGAACTCTGGGCCTGGGCGCTGTCCTTCAGCTCTTCAGCTCAAGGCGAGCGCTCTACCACTTGAGCTACAGCGCCACTTCCGGTTTTCTGGTGGTTTATTGGAGATAGGAGTCTCACGGTCTCTCCTGCCCAGGCTGGCTTTGAACCCCGATCCTCAGATCTCAGCCTCTTGAGTAGCTAGGATTACAGGCGTGAGCCACCAGCGCCCGGCTCACATCATTATTATTAAGATTGACATATTCACGAGCTTTGGACTCAGATGCAGAGCGTGAAGCTTAGAAAGGTTTTCAGTGACTTGTCCAGTGGTGCTTGGTCAGTGAACAGTGAGAGCTAAACTCAGCTACCTGGTGCCAAAAGCTATGCTCCTAGGCACCATCTTGCACACACACTCCCATGTGAATCTAGTCCCAGCATTCCCACTTAGAGCCATTTTCCTATCACTTCCCATCCCTGTGTCCAGGGAATTGAAACCCTTTCTGGTTCTAGGTTTTTACTTTGTTCTCATTACTGACTTGGGTTCTCGGTTCTTCTTTATGTTTCAGGCTGAAGAAAAGGCTGATGCACTGAATAAAGAGCTGCTGATGACCAAACAGAAACTGATCGAAGCAGAAGAAGAGAAGCGCCGGTTAGAGGAGGAGTCTGCTCAGGTGTTGTGTCCCCCTCCCCCCCCCCCCCCCCCCCCCGTCCCCCCAGCGGAGATTTAGCTGAAAAATGGGCACTGGAGACAACTGCCTTTAGTTTCTGCCCAAGGACCTTTTTTATTTATTCTGTAAAACATAGTGGTTTTCTTACCATGAAATCCTGCAAGGAGGCAGCGGGGCTTTGGGGTGGGTTGAAATTCAGCATGAAAAGCAACACAAAAGGGAGCCCGCTCCATGGGCACAGACTGGCCTGACTCCCAGAATGCACCGAGCATGCGCCCTGGCAACCTCTCAGGTCCTCTCAGGTCACACGGCCGCCTCGGGTTGGTGACTGTCATGGTCCGTAAACCCAGGAGGTGCTGAGCGCTGCTCTGGCCCGGCTCTGGCCTGCCCGGCCCTCGCCAAGGATAGCAAGAGGCCACAGCTTGGATGGTCACACGAGCAGGGAAGAGCTGTGGAAGCCCACGGGCACTGAGAGTCTGTTTTCTCCCTCGAGAACAGAATTAGTGCTGCCAAGGGCAGAAGAATGGGAAGCAGAGCTGTCTGGTTAGCTGAGGTTTAGCACCAAGCAGATTCCGATTTTTCCCCTCCGTATTCACTTTTGCTTTTGTATGTGGTCAGTTAAAGGAAATGTGCCGCCGGGAACTCGACAAGGCAGAATCGGAGATTAAAAAAAACAGTTCCATCATTGGTGACTACAAGCAGGTGGGTCCCTGCACGCTGAGCCGGCCGGGTGTGGGGGGTGGAGCGTGGGCCCCATGCCCTGGTGTGGAAGGACATTGTCTCCAGACCTCGCTGCACCTGCTTGTGTCCCGTGTGGACACAAAAGGACGTTTGTAGCGCGCCTCACATTGCAGCGTCCAGCAGGTGGTGAGTGAAAGCCAGGGGTCTTGAGAGCAGTTCCACTTCCGAATGACATGGCCACTAATGGGCTAAAGCAGTTCTCTCCAAGGCAGCTCGTTCTTTTTTTTTTTTTTGGGGGGGTCCAGTCGTGGGGCCTGAACTCTGGGCCTGGGTGCTGTTCCTCAGCTCTTCAGCTCAAGGCTAGCACTCTACCACTTGAGCCACAGCGCCACTTCTGGCTTTTTTTTTCTTTTTGCTTATGTGGTGCTGAGGAATCGAACCCAGGGCCTCATGCATGCAAGGCAAGCACTCTACCACTAAGCCACCTTCCCAGCCCTGGCAGCTCGTTCTTTAGAACACATTGGATCAATCTTTCTCCCCCTCTCTGCTGGGATCTCATGCTGGTTGGGAGGCTGGCACCGCTGGAGGAACCTCTGCTTGACAAAGCCACACCCTCCGGAACAGTCTGTCTGCTGAGAGCTGCATTGAAGAGTTTATCTCAATTGCAGATTGTGCAGATGACTACATCATTCAAAAGATTGCGGTTTTGTTTGTTTCTTTAGATTTGTTCTCAACTGAGTGAAAGATTGGAGAAGCAGCAGACAGCTAATAAAGTGGAAATTGAGAAAATTCGGGTAAGATTTCCTTTACGGAAAAGATTTTACATCACCTAGTTCATGTTATGGCTGTCTTCAGCACAGCAGGATTTGGGAGAGAAGCTGGCTGGGGGAGTGGCTCCCGTGGTAGAGCACTGGGCCTGACGTGCCAAGGCCCTGGTCCAATCCACACTAGCAGCACTCCCTCCAAAATAAATGACACAAGCTGCAGTGTATCAGATGAGGTACCTGTCTACTGTCAGTGACTGACAACTCCCACACCCTTTATCTCAGTTCAGATGAGACCAAAAGAGCCCCAGCTTTCAATCTTAAAGTCCCAGTGCCCAAGGACACAGAATGTCATCAGGAAGGTAGGCAGCGGCCAGGTTGCTTGGCCAGGACAAATGGGATAGCCAGTATAGTTCTGCAGGAGGGAGGGGGAGGGAACAGGTGTGTCCCCGCCCCACTCCCCCTTGTTCTGTGGAGACTCTTCTGCAGTCGTGGGATCCAAATACAATGAAGACTTGCCGTGTTTTACTGATAGGGGAATGGGGAGAGTGACTGGTACTTAAGTTCTATTTCTACTAGATTGTGATATTTTGCAAAAGGAGCAATTTAGTGAAAGATGCCTTACTTAGGTATTTACAACTCAGGGACGGGAAGATAGCAGAGACCCATGCTCACAGACTTTACACACCAAGAATGAGATGGCGCTGACTTCCCCTCAGCATAACCAGAGGCACCCATTTTCTTTTTAATCTTTAGGTGCTGCTATAAGACTTTAATAAAGCTCTTTTTTAGGGGGTGAAGAGGAATAGCTGGGGATTAAGCACAGGGCCTTGTGCATGCTAAGTGCTAAGTGACTACTCAATCACTGAATCACACCCAAGCCCTGACCTAAGGGCTGTGTTCTCTTAGTTGTTCTGTTGACCCTAATGAGCAGATGGATGGAGGGATGGATTTTGGGGGGAGGGCAGTACTGAAGTTTGAACTCAGGACTAGGTAGATACTACTGCTCAAGCCACACCTCCAGCTAAAGTTTCTAAGACTGGCATTTAATTTTGCATTTACAGTTCTAAAATTGGGATGTTTTATAGTGGATTGCTTTTTTCTGATTTGATTGGCAGAATTATCTCTTAGAAGAACTTAAAGTGATTTTTATATTCAGTGACATCCTATTTTGTTGAAATACAGAATATTAACTTGTGAGCATATTTTATATACTTTTTGGGGCATGCCTTTAGTGTTTAATTTCCTATGTTACAAAAAAATTTTCCTCAAGGATTTTTAGAGTCTACATCCCACCTTGAAGAAACAGCTCCCACTTGGACAGTTTCGGTATCCCAATTCCACAGGAAAAAAGTCATTGTACACAAAGCTTTATCTCAGCGCAGCCTCATCTTGACTAGCCTGTGTTTCTAACAGTGCAACTTCTAGATCAGATGTTGTGTAATTGGTATTTTGGTATGGAATGCCAGGTATGTTGCCTGTCAATTTCCAAAGACAAACACCGCCTTGAACAGCGGCTCCTCTGCCCTCTCATCTCTGCCCTTGAATTTCAGCAAAAAGTAGATGATTGTGACCGCTGCCGGGAGTTTTTCAACAAAGAAGGACATGTGAAAGGCATCGCCTCAAGCAAGGAGGTTTTGGATGCGGACACAGATGAAGAGAAGGAGACACTCAAGAACCAGCTGAGAGAAATGGAGCTGGAACTGGCGCAGACCAAGCTCCAGTTGGTGGAAGCCGAGTGCAAGATCCAGGTAATGGCGGTGGCACGCAGCACACACTGTGGAACGGGTTCTGTGATGTGGACTAGAGTTCTCCCTCACGGACACACACATAAAACGGACTTGTGTGGGCTTAGGATCTTCTCTCCAACCCCTTTTAAATTTTGAGTGTAATCCTCATGGGAGAAACACAACACTTTTTGCTTTTGTTCTAGTTTTAAATTTTATTGTTTTTATTTGAAAATGCTAAAAAACAGAAGGGTTACAATTACATAAATCAGGCAAAGAGTACAATACTTTTTATCAGTGGATGTTTATTTAGTAGCCTGTCCTAAGGATTTGTATTTTATAAAATTTAAGATTACCTACATAGTTTCCATCTCTTTAGTGGTACACAGAACACATGCCTTAAAATCACACAGCTCAGCAGGGCACCAGTGGCTTACAACATAATCCTAAGCTACTCAGGAGGCTGAGATCAGAATCACAGTTCAGTTCAAAGCCAGCCCAGTCAGGAAAGACAGACTCTTACCTTGAATTAACCACCAAAAATCCTGAACTAGAGCTGTAGCTCAAGTGATAAAATGGTAGTCTTGAACAAAAGATCTAAGGAACAGTACCCAGACCCTGAGTTCAAGTCACAGGCCTTGTGCACACACAAAATAAGTAAAGTCACACAGCTCTACTCACTTGGTGGGGGGGGGGAAGGGAGGAGGGGATGTTACTGGGCTTTAATTCAAGCCCTTCTACCACGGGAGCCACACCTCCAGCCCTTTTTTGCTGTAATTTTCAGATTTTGTGCTTCTTGCCTTGGACTTGAATCCCTTAATTATGCTTCCCATGTGCTAAGATTACATTGTCATATTTGGCTTGTTCTCTGCCCACTTTTTTGCCCCAGCTAGCTAGGATCCATAATCCTCCTAGCTCGCATCTTCCAAGTAGCTGGAATGACACATGTAATCTCACCACCTCTGGCTTCCAGCGCTGACATCTTGGATCTCAACCTGGGTAGTAACCTTACACCACCACAGGTTGTCCCAGTCTTCTGTCAGGCCGGTTTGAGCACTAGGATGTGCAGGCAAGGCTGAGCACAGCAACAAGGGTTCTATTCCTCGACTCCCATCACACAACCAGCTCAGAACCTCCATGCTGGTGAAGGAATCTGGTTTTTGCTTTTTGCTTTTTTTTTTTTTTTTTAATCTTTCTGCTACGTTGCTAATCCTGCCAGTACCAACACCAGGCAGGTCTGAGGCCACAGGCAGCCCTCCCTTACTGCATGTGTCGCAGGTGGCACTAGATAGCAGCTGGTGGGACTGCCTCTGGAGCAGCGTCTCGGCGTGTCTGAGCTGTGATCAGAGCGGGCGGCCTGGTGCTCAGAGGGAAAAGACAAGGAGCATGCCTGGCAGGAAGCACCGCCCACTGCCCGTGGAGGGAGGGCCTTCCACGAAGGATCCTGGAGGTGCTTCTATGCTGCGGCAGAGTGAGGCAGGTGCTAATACTCAGGTAACGGGCACATGCGGCCCAAGTTAGCATCTCAAATGCCTCATCCCCTCGTTCCTCCCACAGGACTTGGAGCATCATTTGGGCCTTGCCCTCAATGAGGTGCAGGCAGCCAAGAAGACCTGGTTTAACCGAACGCTGAGCTCCATAAAGACAGCCACCGGGGTTCAAGGCAAAGAGACTTGCTGAGAGCAGCTGCCTGCAGAGAACACGCCACCTCTTGTTGCCTTCCTTGGCCACATGTGTGATTCTGTGACTTGTTCCAGGACCAGAATGTACCTAAGTGGAATCCATGATGCATACTGGTGGGTCGTTGGGCCAGAGCTGCTGAAGCAGGCAGCCTCTGGGTAAGGCTGTCCTCACCACTGACACCAACAGGCCTGCCAGCCCAGCTGAGGCTGGGGACACACTCCAGGAGTCACTCGGAGGCCCACACCGCGCCCAGCGTAAAGGCCGTTTACATGATCAGAGTTGGGGATCCTTCAGTGTGTTGATTTTTTTCTAAACCTTTTTTTTTAAACAAATATACATATTATATATACACACACACACATATGTATATGTGTACACATACATGTGTATGTGTGTATATATGTGTGTGTGTATGTGTATGTGTTTGTGTTGGGGGGGTAGGGGATCGGAAATTAGAGTAATTCTTACCTGTCAGTGCCAGCAGAAATCCTCCCGGGTAGACATGGAAAAGCACTTTGTTTGAAGTAGGAAGGTTTCATAGACATAGCAGAAGCCATCTAGTTGCGCTCACCTATCCCATGCACAGGTTTGGGCTTTGGTGTTCTTCACGTCTCTGATCAATTCTATGCAACTCTCATAGTCCTGTCATCTTTTAGCACTAGCTGCCAGAACTGACTTTACAAGGCTGGACTGGGCGACATGGCTGTGAGACTGGATTAATCATAACGTGGACAAATCTTATTTTGCTTAATGTGTCATGTGTACATACATATAAATATAAATATAAATATAAATACCTTCCCCCAATACAAAGTTGACAGTGTTGAACTCCCAGACTCGGGCTGCTGAGCCGCACCGCTTCCTCCTGCGGTCACTTGGGCACTTACCTTCACCCCTGCCTTCACTCCCTCACTTAAGGGTTCCTAGTGTGCACACATGAGGAGGGCTGAGCTGAGCTGTGGGGTTGCTGGGCTCTGAGCCCTCCCGGGGTGGCCAGGTGCAAACCTCACTGTCCAGGTGGGCTGTAGGTTTTCACTTCACAGGTATGGAATGGAGGTTTTTAGCACCTTTTTATTGAGGGGAACTGTAGAAAGCCTTTGAGTTAATTTATCTGGTGATATGCTGACAGGCCGCCCCGCAGGTGTTTCGTCCTTTGCTTGTGCTCTGTGAGGTAGCTGCTTCCGGTGGCAGTGGTTTGTATATAAGGACCCTCGGCTCGTTTCCTTCTGTTCTGTTGGCCGTAATGAGGCTTGCTGAGGTCACTGTGACAGGAGAAAGTGGCAGCCCCTCCCCCAGACCATGCCCTCTGCCGCTTCCTGTGTCCTTGTTCAATTACCAAAACAGCTGTAAGCTCATCTAATAATAGGTGTGTGAACATTGTGCTAGGGTAGTTTGCGTGTCAACTTTATGAACTGAAACATAAACCAGTAAAACTGTATTACTAATTCTTCTGTTGGCTTTATTTTAACAGCATACTCATTAAATATTTTGGTACAAACAGCATTGCTTTGTAGCCGTCAGTTGTATCACTCCCTGCTCCGAACCCCCTTCCCCTGCCCCCACTCCAGAGGCTGGCTGGAGAGGGCCAGACCCAGAGAAGATTCAGACTCTGGCTTGGGAGAGTGAGCCTTCACAGCCGTGAGTGTGGTGCTGCCTGGGAAATACAGTGCTGGAGGTCACAGGTGACACACCTCGGTGTACTGGAGTTCCAGGAGGTCTTGGGACAAGGATGGAGTTAGGTCTGTAAAGACAAGTGTCATCTCACTAGGCAGAGATGGGAGGACGCACCAGGGCTGCAGGGCATTGTCCGTAGAAACAGCTACAGAACGGAAAAGCAGTCCAATCACCTGCCAGCTTCTAAGAAAAGTGGTGGCAGGCACATCTTTAACAACAGTCGTCCCCTGTCTTCACCACATCCCAGCATGGTAGGGGCTTTCCCATGCAGCCCTCTTGTCTGCAGCAGGAGGAGTGGCGCTTCCCTTCCTGCCCAAGCCTTTGAATAGCAGCTCCCTCCTTCAAGGGAAGTTAGTAAGGGGGCGGCTGCCTGGCAAAGAGGCTGGAGAAGTGTCCAAGCAATAGCAGGCACTCACTCCTGCAGAGGCCTGGACAGGGCACAGGCTGGAGAACCTATTTCTGAAGGGGTCCACACTGCTGGCCAGCCTGCTCCATGTTTTCCAGGTCCTAAACACCATGTTTAAGAATGTAAGGACTCAACAGAAATCCTCATTCTTCTAGCTGTGCACTGGCCAAGAGAAAGGCATTCAAACACAGTCCAATTTCAACGTGGGCCAAATAACTCAGATAAAGGGTATGGCCTCTGGTTGAAACCCAGAGTGAAAGTCATTGTAATTGCTTATGGTAAGTACTGTATGCATGTTCAAGTCCCTGTGCACTGAAGTGTGTCTGCAAAGGAGACAAAAAAAATGGCAGTGCCACCGCTCTGCACTAATGACTAGAGATGTGTGGTTTCGTAAAAGGCTAAGAGGATACCATTTAGCTAGGAGAAACAGGTAGTTGGCAGGAGATGAGCGATAAGGGATGGTATGGTTCTTTAGGTTGCAGCCATGCCACGAGAATTTGGAGGTCATAAGGAACTAAACCACAGCAGAGTTTAAAGCCAACTTGGCATTTTGGGAAGTTCCCTGCTGATCCACTAGGAAGTAAAAGTAGAGTCTGCAGTGATAGAGAATAGGGATGGAGGGTAAATTGGACTTGAGATGGCCTGAGACATGGGCTGGAACGCGCAGCTAAGGAAGGAGCTGGTGTGGCATCTCAAGTACGGGGCTTTCTGAACTTCCATCACCGTTGGCAGCTTATGCCAGCTGCGCGATGTCCTGAGAAATGGTACTTTTCAGCAGCATCCCTAGGATCTATCCACTAGATGGCAACAGCATACACAGCATACACACAACCCAAAACATCTCTGGGTGTTGCCTAATGGGGAAAGGAGGCTCGGTGATGTGCGCTTAGTTGCAAAGTATTGCTCACGTGTAAGCTGAAGGCTGGAGAATGGAGGATTGCACGGGGAGAGATAAGTCTACAACCACCACACGAGCAGGACGAGGGTATGCAGATTGCAAGCAGAATGGGGGCTTGTAACTGGCTTGCAGAGAGGAGATGAAAGGTGAAAGCAAAAACTTTAGTCTGGGGGCATGCCTGGGAGGTTGGTGGTACGGGCTCACTGCAGTGGGGCAAGGGGCGAGAGGACAAGGGGATTCAGTGTTAATTAGTCCGGCTGGGAAGGGAAGTGGGTAAGGGTGGTAAGCAGCCAGAGAGAACCGTGACAGGCGGCAGTGCGAAGAGCTCTCCCACTGTGTTCTCAAAGCCTGTGAGAATGAACGCCTGTAATCTTAGCTCTTCAGGAGGCTGAGATCTGAGGATCACAGGTCAAAGCCAGCCTGGGCTGGAAAAGTCCATGAGACTCTTTTCTCCAATCAGCCACCCAAAAAAGCCAGAAGTAGAGCTGTGGCTCAACAGCAGAGCTCAGGGACAGCACCCAGGCTCCAAGTTCAAGCCCCAGGCCTGGCATACATCCATGCACATACCATGACCCCAGGGACATGGGCAGTCCTTGCAGCAGCCAGACAGAACTGATCCAGAGCCTTGTCAGCTATTTGGGGGAAAAGTAAAGGCTCAAAAAGAAAGATGAGGGTTCTCTACATTTGAAGTCAAATCTCCCAGCAACAGAGGGGGAATGAGAAGAGTGTAGGAGAATCTGCACAGACCAAAAAGAAACCAGGACTCGGTCTGGGAAGTTGGCTCAGTGGTAGAGTGCTTGCCTTGCATGCTTGAGGCCCTGGGTTCGATTCCTCAGCACCATATAAGCAAAAAGAAAAAAAAGCCGGAAGTGGTGCTGTGGCTCAAGTGGTAGAGTGCTAGCCTTGAGCTGAAGAGCTGAGGGACAGTGCTCAGGCCCAGAGTTCAGGCCCCACAACTGGACCAAAAAAAAAAAAAAAAGAAACCAGGACTCTACACCTACTTTTCAATAAACCCTAGAGGAATGGAAACCAGTCTGGAGGGGAGCTAAGAAGCTTAGGAGAGGCACTGTGTCAGGTGCTGACACAGTGGGATTTAAGTCCTAAGGTTCGGAACGGGATGGGAGAGGGCAGAAAAGCTGGAGCAGACATGAGAATTAGAACCATGCACGATGGTGACTGAGGCTCACTCAGAGAAAAGCATATGAAGAAACTAAGGTTCACAGCAAGGGTTCTAGGCAAAGCCACAGCTGAAGTGTCAGCCTGAACTTTTTTTTTTTTTTTTTTGGGGGGGGCAGTCCTGGGGCTTGAATTCACAGCTTGGGCACTGTTCTTGAGCTTTTTGTTCAAAGCTAGCACTCTACCACTTGAGCGACAGCACCACTTCCAATTAATTGGAGATAATAGTCTCATGGACTTTCCTGTCCAGGCTAGCTTTGCTGTGATCCTCAAATCTCAGCCTTCTAAGTAGCTGGGATTACAGATGTGAGTACCTCAGCCTGAATTTCTAATTCCCACAGCCAGCAGTAGTGGAACCTGCCACACAGCGCTTAATCACGCGCTCCTGTGGAACTCGGGGCCAAGACTAAAGCATAGCCCCAATGCTCATTGCTCTCAACCTTTCCAAGTTCTCTGATCCGTGTGGAGGCTCTGTGCTACCTGCCTCAGAGGTGAGCTGTGGAACTTTGACTCATCGTTCATTCCACTCTTTCATCTTTCCCGTGTTTCTACCTCCCCTCACCTCTCCTCCCCCCGTGACCTGTTTCCACAGGAAGGAAGAAAGGCAAGAGAGCCTGGCTCCCCCTCAGACCAGGAGAGGCAAACCTGGAGCCATGGTGGCTCTTGTTCCAGTCCATGTCGGCAGGGCTGTAAATGCAAAGTGATGGTGGAGCTCTGAGTCATGGTGAGGCAGCACACCCGGTGCAGTGCTGCTGTCCGCTCCCCGCAGGCCGTGAGCCGCCCTGATCCAGGCTCCTTGGCACCTTCCCTGGGCTGATGGTCTGAGCCTCGGGAAGGGAACCTTCCTGACTACAGCTCCATGTACTTCCGTCTCCAAGTATGGATACGGTTCTGTAATGTCTGGGTCTCACCGACCCTGGGGCAGATGTGAAGGGCAGAAGTTTGGGGACAGGAAGTGCCTGGGGCACTGTGGGCCTTGGCACTCCACTCAGATGCCTCCTGCCCTCTGAGCCAAGAGCCAGCTTGGAAGATTCCAAGGAGTTCTGAGGACCACAGATGTGAGCACGGGCGAGACCATGGCGTTCAGCCTTGTGCTGTGGCCATTTCACCCTTTCTGCAAAGGCAAGTGAGTCCCCGTGGGATGGACTGAGCGAATCTCATGGGCCAAGAAGTGGGAGGGGGGCAGGGGGGCAGGGGAGGCACACCCTGCACTGGAACCCTCACCAGTGTGGAGCCTGCATGGAACAGTCCAGCCCATTGCTGTTGGAACACAGAAGCATTTATTTTTATTCATCCAACGGGAAAATGCAACATGTCAGGGCATTACAGACAAACTGCAGCAGCCAGACAAGAGGCTCAGTCTACAGCAGAGTCCAACGCACTCAGCATGAAGGAGCCACAGTGTGGGCGCTGCCTGCAGGAGGGAGCCAGGGCAGCGGGGTCCCTTTGGATGAAGGCCAGGCATCTCTGGGCGAGGCACTGATGACAGTCCACACATGCAGGCTGCTGCTTCAACCGCGCCGTCGGCTTAAAGTCCAGAGTCCTACATGTAACCACAGCCCCGCAGGGGCACCACACTCCATGGTGGTTGTGGTTTCAAATGTTTTTTTAACATAATACACAACATGAAATTATTGCCAAGGACGTTGCACTGTCAGTTATACTATGTACACTTGTGTATTCAGAAAAACACAAATAGATACAGATAGGTATTTTAAACAGACTTCTAAATACTAACTTGGCTAGCATCGGACCCAAGTAAGCTACTGCCAGAAGTCCAAAGTCACATGTGTAACCGTGCAATGGGGACAGGTTTCCTACCTACCACTCCCCCGGCACCCCAACTGGACACCTTCCACATTAGGAGGAAGAAAGCCCTCTCGTGAACAGCTCTGGGCCTCGGGTGTCCACAAGCTGCGCCTCCCACCTCCTCTGCAGACTGCGCTTTCTTGAGAAGCAAGCGTGACGGGTCTCACTCCTCTGGGAGTGCTACACGCCACAGGACAGATAAGTCACCGTCATGGGTATGGATTCCAAGGGCGTAAGCTCCGCCCTCCCCTAGCAATTCCTGACCAAAGGCCCTGGGTTTAGTGAGGGATTTGGCCTCACTTCTGGTAGAGTGAGTGAGTGAGTGAGTGAGTGAGTGAGTGTGTGTGAGTGTGTGTGTGTGTGTGTGTGTGCGCACGCACGCGCGCGTGCCATAATTATAGCTATCTCAGGAGACTTTCCTTCCTGAAAAAATGGCTGGACCCCAACCAGCCACTTTCAGAGACCCAAGATACCACACAACTGGCCAGGCAGATGAGTCGCCTGAGTTTGGAGATGCTTTGGGAAAAATACAATAAAGCTCCCAAGCTAGAGGGCCTACCCAAGGAAGGGCCAGTGGCAGGAGGGTCCCACCCAGCTCAACCACTCACTTTGCCCCGAGCCCCAGTGTGACTAGCTCAGCAGCCAGCAGAGCCACCCTGGATTCTTGGTTGCACACAGACAACAAAGTCTCTGGGAAGACCGTGGCTGCCTGCCCAGCAGCGGCTACCCCCAAGCCTCCTCTCCTCTCCACAGGAGGGAGTGCGGGTGGCCAAGCACCTCCACAGTCAGGGTGGGCCAATGCTCAAGAGCTGCCACATAAAGTGAGCTAGGGAAAAGCAGCATTCCGCACCCCACTGGTGCAGAGCGACTGCTACCAGCTGGCAAAAGGCCAGTCTGTGCTTGGAAGGTGATGCCGGGAGGAAAGGGCTCATCCGAGGGCAGCACGGCTGGCCTCAAGTGGAGAGGGCCTGAGGAAGCAGGCAATCATCATCCCCTCGGGGTGTCGGGGCTGTGGCACGAGTGGGTCAAGGACCAGTGTGACCTGTCACTGACCTGCCCAACCACCAAGATCCTCCGAAAGCCAAGGTGCCTGTGCCAGCAGAAAGCCAGCTCCCAAGCTTGGAGGTGAGCAGTGCCAGCCTGGAAGAGCGAGAACACACGCTCCGGAAGAAGGAAAGGAGCCAGAACTTGGAAATGCAACTTTTAAGTTAAAAGTAAGAAGATGGTCCTTTTAGCTGTCTGCAATTCCTATCCCTAGTCTCGATTCAGATTCCCTGAAGAATAAAGGGATGGAGATCTGACTCCACACTCCCAGAGCAGAATATTTCGTTTTTTAGTTTTAATGTTTCTGACCATCACGTTCCCTGGCATAGGAAAACAGGACGGGGTGGTACCGACCTTGACTGGGGGCTAGGACAGGTTGGCGGGCAGGGCTCTAGTTCTGCTATGACATGACTTATGGTATCCACTGACATGCACCTTCCTTAGGAGGCCGGAGCACAGCGCAGAACTTGACGCCGGATGAAAAGCGTATGTGTCCCAGGCAGGGCCAGCCTCCATCTATGGCACACATAAGTTAATCATTTTCCTTTCCGTGAGCCCAGGAACTTCTCTAGACAAATTCAAGATGTGATCCTTCTACTGTCAAGAGCCTGAGAGCCACCCACATCCCCTGGAAGCGCACCCCAGGGAACAGCCCCCGTCAGACACACTGGACCAGGCTGAGGATGAAAGCCACGGCCGCACAGGCCCAGCTGCCAAACACTTTTTTGGCCTTCCTTTGTTAACTCTAAAAGAGATCTAACCGCCACCTCATTAAGAACAAGCCACAGTGGTCACTGGAGCTGGGTGTGGCAGCTGAGGGAAATACTCCGAAAAGCAGAAAGCAAATTTACACTACTCCTTCCTGGAGCAGACACCATGTCTCTACCAAGCGCCCACAATGCACTGATAAGAATGGGTGCTGGCCGCTAGGGAGGGGGCGGGGGCGGGGGCGGGGGCCAGCATCTCTACAAGCTTTGCTGCCCTTTGACATGGGAGCGAGCCAGACTGCTGTTTACCCCCACCCACCAAGGCAAAATAAAGATCTGAGACAGGATGCTTCCTTTGTCTGCTTTTAAGTGAGGTTTAGGATTGCAGGAAAAGGCCTGAAAATGGGAGTTTTGTTAAACTATATCACTTCAAAAATAAAGAGGCAAGCCGGGCGCTGGTGGCTCACGCCTGTAATCCTAGCTACTCAGGAGGCTGAGATCTGAGGATTGCGGTTCAAAGCCAGCCCGGGCAGGAGAGACCGTGAGACTCCTATCTCCAATAAACCACCAGAAAACCGGAAGTGGCGCTGTAGCTCAAGTGGTAGAGCGCTCGCCTTGAGCTGAAGAGCTGAGGGACAGCGCCCAGGCCCAGAGTTCAAGCTCCACGGCCGACCAAAAAAAAAATAAATAAATAAAGAGGCAACTCACTCACCCACTGAAGCTGCTGGCTAAAAAGCCATCCAACACTGGGCCTTGCCTTCCCACAGCTCTATCAAGAGTTTCCCATCCCTTACCAGCAAAATCCAGACTAAGCAGATATGATTTATCTCCCAACCAGAAAGACACTTTCAAATCCATGTGTGACTTTCCCCTCCTGACCCTGGCGTCCACCTCCCTCACCGCACCTGTGCAACTCCAACCCCATCTCTCTGCCACTGAGGTCTGTTCCCCTTGTGACAGCTCCATGCCCTGCTTCATCGGGCTCCCCACTCACCTCTACCCCTCAGCGCTTATGCCCCTATGGGCTGCTTGGTACTCACAGAGGAGAGGCCCAGGAGGCCACCTTGGTAGCAGATGGGCAGGAATCACAATTAAGCCAAAAGTTGTTAGCATTACAATGGTCATGACTAGCTCTTTGAAGTCAGTGAAGTTTTAGTGACTACAGCCACTCACCTGTCCTTGCACTATTAGGCTGCTTCTAAGCTGCAATGGCAGAGATGAACGTTATGAAAGAGCCCATGGGGGCTGGGAAGGTGGCTCAGTGGTAGAGCGCTTGCCTTGCATGCCTGAGGCCCTGGGTTCGATTCCTCAGCACCACATAAGCAAAAAGAAAAAGCTGGAAGTGGTGCTGTGGCTCAAGCAGTAGAGCGCTAGCCTTGAGCTGAGGGACAGTGCCCAGGCCCAGAGTTCAGGCCCCACGACCGGACCCCCCAAAAAAACCAACAACAACAATGAAAGAGGCCATGGGGTCTGTAAGGCCTGGACTGCTCACTACAGCACCTGGCCATTTACACAAGGGCTGAGGCCATCTTCCCCGCATAGTTTCACATTGTAAAACAGGAAGTGCTCTCTATGGAGCACACAGGGTAAACAGACAGGTTGCTTACAGATAAAGACACCTGGCCCTCAACTTACGGCCACCCAAAAGGCTGTTAGCAGACCTGTGTCTCGGTATATGTACCTCTTTACCTTTCCAGAGCTGACTCTTGCGTTCTAGCTGCCACTGTGTTACAGAAATGCACAGGTACAAAAACCTACCATGACTTGCTGGAGGCTGCAGTGATTATGTGCTTGCCTAACACCAAAACAAAAACACCCACCACCCACCCTTCTGATTTCTTCTATCTCCTTGCCCACATGCCCACGATGAAGAAGACATGTCAGGACTGAGGCTGATACAAAACGGAGACCCAGAGCAAATTTGTCAGTAATCTCACAGAGCTTTTTCCCTCCTTAACCCTAAAAAAGCCCATACCTTCCCACTGGCTAAAGATCAGATCCTATAGAACCCTCAAAGCTTCAAGCCCTCACCCAGGTTAAACAAAGGGAAAAGCCATGGGGGCTGGGCAGGTGGCTCAGTGGTAGAGCACTTGCCTTGCATGCCAGAGGCCCTGGGTTCGATTCCTCAGCACCACATAAGCAAAAAGAAAAAAAAGCGGAAGTGGCGTTGTGGCTCAAGTGGTAGAGCGCTGGCCTTGAGCTGAAGAGCTGAGGGACAGCGCCCAGGCCCAGAGTTCAGGCCCCATGACCAGACCCCAAAAAAAAAAACAAAGGGAAAAGCCAAAACACCAAGTGAGGGTTTGCCAGGCCCGGTGGGAATGGCCTGTGCTCCACCCCAGCGCTGCTGTACTTGGCAACTGTCTCCTCCTCGGCCCTCATTAGAGTCAGAAGCAGCACTGCACAGTGCTCCCCAAGTGAACTGTGGCCTGGGAGAGGTGCACCATCAGGCCCTCTCCCCTGACAGGTACTGATGCTCCCTGGCCACCACTAGATGCTGTTGGTGGCAACAGAGGAGCTAGGCCGGTGTAGAGACTTCTGCTTCTCTCTCCAGTTCTTCTATCTCCAGTTCTTCATCTGGACTCTGGCAATAAATAGCTTCTCCCTCATCAGTCCTGATTCTGATCTTTGCTGTCCACCTACCCCCACTCCACAGCTCCCTCATCATGGTCATCACTGAAAGGCAATGACCCAGGGCCTTTGATGACAGGGCCCCCAGAAACTATCCCAGGTCCCACAAGGCATTTCATGCTGCCGGATAGGCTGACCCCTTCTGTGTAGAGTAGCCACCTCTGCTGAGCCCCTTCCCAACTCCCTCATCAGAGACTCCTGTCTAGATTCATACAGTCCCCAGCACATCCTAGGCTACTTGGATCAGAGCTGATGTAATTGCCTCATCTCTCACCCCTTCTCACCATGCAAGTCACCTCAGGAGCCTGACTCCACTCCCACTGGCCTGGAAGACCTGGGCTGGGGAATGACTCATGGGACAGCAGTTAGGGCAGGGGGAGAGGGGAGAGGGAGGGGCTGGGGAATGGCACATGGGACAGCAGTGAGGGCAGGGGGGCTGGGGAATGGCACATGGGACAGCAGTGAAGGGGGGGAGGCTGGGGAATGCCACATGGGTCAGCAGTGAGGGGGGGAGGGGAATGGCACATGGGACAGCAGTGGGGGGGAGGGTGGGGAATGGCACATGGGACAGCAGTGAGGGGGGGAGGGGAATGGCACATGGGACAGCAGTGGGGGGGGATGGCACATGGGACAGCAGTGAGGGGGGGAGGGGAATGGCACATGGGACAGCAGTGGGGGGGTGGGGGATGGCACATGGGACAGCAGTGGGGGGGGGAATGGCACATGGGACAGCAGTGGGGGGGTGGGGGATGGCACATGGGACAGCAGTGGGGGGGGAATGGCACATGGGACAGCAGTGAGGGCAGTGGGGGGTGGGGAATGGCACATGGGACAGCAGTGGGGGGGGAGGGGGGAATGGCACATGGGACAGCAGTGGGGGGGGAGGGGGGAATGGCACATGGGACAGCAGTGGGGGGGGGGAATGGCACATGGGACAGCAGTGGGGGGGGGAATGGCACATGGGACAGCAGTGAGGGCAGTGGGGGGTGGGGAATGGCACATGGGACAGCAGTGGGGTGGGGAATGGCACATGGGACAGCAGTGGGGGGGGAATGGCACATGGGACAGCAGTGGGGGGGGGGAATGGCACATGGGACAGCAGTGGGGGGGGGGGAATGGCACATGGGACAGCAGTGAGGGCAGTGGGGGGTGGGGAATGGCACATGGGACAGCAGTGGGGTGGGGAATGGCACATGGGACAGCAGTGGGGGGGGAATGGCACATGGGACAGCAGTGGGGGGGAGGGGAATGGCACATGGGACAGCAGTGGGGGGGTGGGGAATGGCACATGGGACAGCAGTGGGGTGGGGAATGGCACATGGGACAGCAGTGGGGTGGGGAATGGCACATGGGACAGCAGTGGGGCTGGGGAATGGCACATGGGACAGCAGTGAGGGGGGGGGGAATGGCACATGGGACAGCAGTGGGCTGGGGAATGGCACATGGGACAGCAGTGAGGGCGGGGGTGGGGGGAGAGGAAGGAGGGTGATTACTAATGTGGTTTTTTACCAAAGAAGTAATTTTTATTCTGTCCAACCCTCTGGAGCAGTTCCCTCACTCTCCTACATCATATGCTCCAAGTCCAACTGTTCCTCTGCCCTCATCCCCAACAGAACCTAGTGACAAGGAGCAAGTGACAGTGAATGGTTTCTCAATAAATCCATGTGTCCAAGAAGGGACAAGTGCTCTCAGCAATGTCACCAATTACATCTGAGCTCAGCTCAAATGGACATCGTAGCTACCCAAGTGGGCTTATTCTCCACATCCAACAACACCCCCCTGCCTCTCTTAAGCCCCAGTATGTCTCCATGGAACAATGAATAAATATATTTCTATGTTATTGCACAGAGGTTCAGCTACAGCACAGGAAGATGGTTGGTGGAAATAGGTTCAAAATGGGCAGCTGGCAAAAAACCAGGCTGCCTAGTTGGGTCATTTTTTCACCTACGGGCAGATAACCAACAGCCTTTCTAAGAAAAACAGGAGCTGGGCGTGGTAGCTGATACATGCAATCCTAGCTACTCAGGAGGCTGAGATCTGAAGATTGCAGTTTGAGGCCAACCTGGGCAGAGAAGTCCCTGTGAGACTCTTTTCTTCAATATGCCACTCAAAAACTGGAAGTGGTGCTGTGGCTCAAGTGGTAGAGCGCTAGCCCTGATCAGGGACAGCGCCCAGGCCCTG